GTCGTCACCGTCGTCGTCGTCGTCGTCGTCGTCGTCGTCGTCGTGGTCGGTCCACTGTCCGTCCCTCTTGGGGTCGGGTCGACGGTCCGCGGCCGCCCCGCCGATCAGCGCTGCCGCTGGCCAGGCCGACGGTCCGCGGCCGCCCCGCTGCTTGCCGGGGCCCGGCCTGCAGGGAAGAAAGGTATACCCCCCAAAAGGGGTTCGATCGAAGACGAAAAGGGCGGGTATCGAGGGTTTGGGAAACTCGCGTTATTCGACACTCGAGCAGATAAGGGCGAACAGTCTTGAAATGATTGTTGTTGTTGTTGTTGTTGTTGTTGTTGTTGTTGTTGTTGTTGTTGTTTGCTGTTGTTGTTGTTGTTGTTGTTGTTGTTGTTGTATGTTTGAAACATTTATAACTTCTAAAGAACACTTATGTTGGGATCCCCCTGTTTTTGGCACGACCGTCACCCCCCCTGCCGCGCCTAGGCCGCAGCCTCATTTTCATCATTTTCGTGAGGAAGTCTCAGGCAAAACGGGTTGGTCCGGATCCGGTTGTGTTGTTACGATCGGTTTTCCCTTGCAAAAATAAGCTAAAGTGGACATTTCTTGTTCTAACATAACCAAACTTCAAGAATCCCTTGCAAAAAATAAGGTAAAGTGGACATTCGCGCGCGCAAGACGGAATCCTTCCAAAACCTTAGTTTTCGTAGCGATTTTAACATAAAAACATCAAACAACCAATGGTTTTTCAAAAAAAAATGTCAAAATTTCATCCCGCGCGCTCTTGCGGATTCGTAGGAAACCCATCACTTTTTAATCATTTCTGTCAAACGGGCTTTTGCGAGCAACTTTTTCGAACTTCTGCAACAACGGTTGCGCACCTGCCAGGGCCATCATCCCTGTCAAATAATACCATGCGGGACACATTCGTTTTTTCTTCGCGCGCGCACGCCGTCGTCGTCGGCCGCGGGGCCCTGAATAGTAGCCACGGTCGGCCGCATGCCACGAAGTGAAGTGTCCGAACGTCATAGGGCGGGAAGCTGGGTGTGGGTGGTGGCGAAGAGTCGTTTGGAAATTTGGTAGAGCTTGAACCCGCCCCCCCACAAAGTGGGGGTATTGCCCGCCTCCTATGAAAACCCTGGCACTGGTGAGAACGGAGTGTCCCCACGTGCTAGTAATTGTTGTTGTTGTTGTTGAACATTATTAATTCTAAAGAATAATTATTGTTGGGGCCCCTGGTGCACGACCCCCCCGCCGCGCCTAGGCCGCAGCCTCATTTTCATAATTTTCGTGAGGAAGCCTCAGGCAAAACGATGTGGTCCAGATCCGGTTGTTTTGTTGTCCCCCGCTTTCCCTTGCAAAAAATAAGCTAAAGTGGACATTTCTTGTTCTAACATAACCAAACTTCAAGAATCCCTTGCAAAACATAAGGTAAAGTGGACATTCGCGCGCGCAAGACGAAATCCTTCCAAAAGCTTAGTGTTCGGAGCGATTTTAACATAAAACATCAAAAAACCAATGGTTTTTCAACAAAAAAATGTCAAAATCTCATCCCGCGCGCTCTTGCGGATTCGTAGGAAAACCCAACACTTTTTAAACATTTCTGTCAAACGGGCTTTTGCGAGCAACTTTTTCGAACTTCTGCGACAACGGTTGCGCACCTGCCAGGGCCATCATCCCTGTCAAATAATCCCATGCGGGACACATTCGTTTTTTCTTCGCGCGCGCACGCCGTCGTCGTCGGCAGCGGGGCCCTGAATAGTAGCCACGGTCGTCCGCATGCCACGAAGTGAAGTGTCCCCCGAACGGCATAAAAATTGTTGAAGAGAAAAGAATAATTAGTACATATACGTATCAATAATAGGCGGGAAGCTGGGTGTGGTGGTGGCGAAGAGTCGTGTGGATATTTGGTAGAGCTTGCACTGCCCCCCCACAAAGTGGGGGTATTGGCTGGCGTCGCATGAAAACCCTGGCACTGGTGAGAACACTGAGCGTTCGGGTAAAGTGATTGTTGTTGTTGTTGTTGTTGTTGTTGTTGTTGTTGTTGAACATTAATTATTCTAAAGAATAATTATTGTTGGGCCCCCTGGTGCGCGCCCCCCCTGCGCCGCCTAGGCCGCAGCTACATTTTCATCATTTTCGTGAGGAAGCCTCAGAAAAGAGGGTGTGTACAGGATCCGGTTGTTTTGTTGTAATCCGCTTTCCCTTGCAAAAAACAATAGAAAATGACATTTCTTGTTCTAATTTAATCAAATTTCAAGAATCCCTTGCAAAAAAATAAGGTAAAGTGGACATTCGCGCGCGCAAGACGAAATCCTTCCAAAACCTTAGTGTTCGCAGCGATTTTAACATAACAACATAAAAAAACCAATGGTTTAACAAAAAAAATGTTGTCAAAATCTCATCCCGCGCGCTCTTGCGGATTCGTAGGAAACCCAACACTTTTTAAACATTTCTGTCAAACGGGCTTTTGCGAGCAACTTTTTCGAACTTCTGCGACAACGGTTGCGCACCTGCCAGGGCCATCATCCCTGTCAAATAATACCCTGCGGGACACATTCGTTTTTTCTTCGCGCGCGCACGCCGAAATCTCCAAAAACATTGGGTTCTTAAGAATTTTAGCACCGCGGCGCCACGATGCATAACATCGCACAACCATCGGGAGACAACCATCCGGGACAACCATCCGAACAACCATCGGGACAACCATCGGACAATCATCGGACAGTCATCGGGACAACGATCGGGACAATACACAACCAACAGACAACATCGGGACAATCATCGGACACGATCGGGGGCAACCACAAACCATCAGGACAGCCAATTCGGGACACCATCGAGACGAACCAACGGGAAAACAATTTCCACTCTCTCTTGTGTATTCCACCATCCCTCAGGAAGTTGCCCAAAAGATGTGCCTGCACGTCTTCCCTTGTGAGTACGTATCATGTGTAACATGTGTATCATGTACCATATGCATCATATGCAACAGATGTTCTGTGGAAGGCTTAACAACTTCTGTGGGTTACAAGGCTTAACAACTTCTGTGGGTGTACGAAACTTAGGCTAACCACTTCTGTGGGTGTGTACTCCACGCCAGTGTAGTAGCCACGGTCGTCCGCAGGCCACGAAGTGAAGTGTCCGAACGTCATAGGGCGGGAAGCTGGGTGTGGGTGGTGGCGAAGAGTCGTGTGGATATTTGGTAGAGCTTGCACTGCCCCCCCACAAAGTGGGGGTATTGGCTGGCGTCGCATGAAAACCCTGGCACTGGTGAGAACACTGAGCGTTCGGGTAAAGTGATTGTTGTTGTTGTTGTTGTTTTTGTTTGTTGTTGTTGTGGTTGTTTGTTGTTGTTGTTGTTGTTGGTGGTGGTGTTGTTGTTGTTGTTGTTGAGCTCTCGTTTCAGAACAATTATTGTTGATCTCCCTTCGCCCGTGCATATTGTTTTTGCCAATCAATCTGTGCCGCTCCACGCTCGCACCTTGTGTTTTGACAGGGAAAGTCTTGATGCTCAAACTGTACCCCTGGCCCCCGGGTTACAACACAACAACGGCTCCAGCCTACACACAATTTAGCCAGGACCCCCGCTCTCGCCAGAGAGTTCTTCGCATTTTATTGAGGAATCGCTCTCTCGGCGCTCTGGAGTCGCGCTGTAGCTGGAGTCTACTGCAGAAAAGCGTCTTTACGTCGGACTTTCCTGCAATTTACTCAAGCGCCGCGCTCCCGACACCCGGGCACCCAGGAGCTGCGCTCACGTTAGGTTTTCTTCGCAGATTACCTAGGCATCGGGATCTCGCTGCCCTTCGTTGCCCCGTTGCAGCCCTTCGTAGCCCCCTCGCTTTGTTTCGTGGCCCCGTTGCAGCCCTTCGTGGCCCCCTCGCTCCCCTTCGTGGCCCCGTTGCAGCCCCTCGTGGCCTCCTCGCTGCCCTCCGTGGCCCCGTTGCAGCCCTTCGTGGGCCCTTCGCTGCCATTCGTGGCCCCGTTGCAGCCCTTCGTGGCCCCCTCGCTGCCCTCTGTGGCCCCGTTGCAGCCCTTCGTGGCCCCGTTGCGGCCCTTTGTGGCCCTTTCGCTGCCCTTCGTGGCCCCGTGGCCCCCGCTCGTTCGCGCCCGTTGTGGCCCCCTCACTGTCCTACGTGGCCCAGCTGCTGCCCGCAGTGGCATCATCGTTGCCTTCTGTGGCCCCGCATTATCTGCCCTTCGTGGCCCCCGCTCTTTCGCGCTGTTCGTGGCCCCATACGCATCCCCTTCGTGTCCCCGCTGTCGCCCTTCGTGGCCTACTTGGTGTCCTTCGTGGCCCTGCTGTCGTTCTCTCTCGCTCTCGCTTTCGCTCGTCGTCGTCGTCGTCGTCGTCGTCGTCGTCGTCGTCGTCGTCGTCGTCGTCGTCGCCGTCGTCGTCGACGTCGTCGTCGTCGTGGTCGGTCCCCTGTCCGTCCCTCTTGGGGTCGGGTCGACGGTCCGCGGCCGCCCCGCCGATCAGCGCTGCCGTTGGCCAGGCCGACGGTCCGCGGTCGCCCCGCCGCTTGCCCGGGCCTGGCCTGCAGGGAAGAAAGGTATACCCCCCAGAAAGGGCTCGATCGAAGACGAAAGGGCGGGTACCGAGGGTTTGGCAAATACGCGTTATTGGAAACTCGAGAAGAGAGGGGCGAACATTTTTTAAGTGATTGTTGTTGTTGTTGTTGTGGTTGTTGTTGCGGTTGCGGTTGCGGTTGCGGTTGCGGTTGCGGTTGCGGTTGTGGTTGTGGTTGTGGTTGTGGTTTGGGTTGTTGTTGTTGTTGTTGTTGTTGTTGTTGTTGTTGTTGTTGTTGTTGTTGCTGGACATTCATTATTAAAGAGTTATTATGGTTGATCCCCCCTGCCCGGTAGCCATCGTATTTTCCAAGTAAAGTGCTTCTCCCAGGGCTAGCGCTCTGCCTTGTATAAGGAAAAACGCAAATTTCAGGCGAAACGCCCAGCCCGAGGAGGAGGAGGAGGAGGAGGAGGAGGAGGAGGAGGGAGGAGGAGGAGGAGGAGGAGGAGGATGGCCTCCTCGGGCCGTCTTCGCCTCCCCCGCAATCGCAGTTCCTCGGCGCCCTCACGCCCGCCCACCGGCCCGTGTGCGGGCTGCTGCAGGCGCTCTCGCTGCCGTCGCCGCCGCCCGTGCTGGCGGCGGGGGGTCTCAGAATCGGAGGCGGAGGAGGGGAATCCGGAGTCGAGGATAGAGTTTTTGCGAAGAGGAGCGGAGCTCCGCGCGGATTTCTTGGATCGGCGCTGGGCCCCCCGGCGGCGCCTCCGGCGCCTCCCCAGTCAGGCAGGGAGGGGTTTCAGCGCAGATCCAAGAATTCCGCGCGGACCCCCAACAGTTCAGGTTTATGCTTCTTTTAATTCCTTCAGGAGAAGGAGGAGCATGAGGAGGGGGAGGAGGAGGAGGAGGAGGAGGAGGAGGAGGAGGAGGAGGAGGGGGAGGGGAGGGGGAGTAGAGGAGGAGGAGGAGGAGGAGGAGGAGGAGGAGGAGGAGGAGAGGAGGAGGAGGTGAGGAGGGATCGATGATCGAGTGTCGAGTTTCTGCCCTTGCTGAAGTGTTTTGACGTTTTGGGCCCTTGCCAGCCTCCGGAGACTCCTGCAGACCTCCTCAGGGGCAACGTTACCGGGGGATAGGCTCAGGGGCGGATGCATCGACCCCCAAACGCGCACTCATCGCCGATAGGGGCTCGATCGCCCGCCCCGCCCAGGAGCGCGCGGATTCGCCATCGATAGCCTATCGCCTATCTATCGGCGATGTGTCTCCGATTGCAGCTTGATGATTCCCCCTTTGAGCTGGTCTCCCCATAACGTTCCTCCTCAAGAATCGGAAGCGGAGGAGGAAGAGGAGGAGAAGGAGGAGGAGGGGGAGGAAGAGGAGGAGGCGAAGAGGAGGAGGAGGAGAAGGAAGAGGAGGAGGAGGAGGAGGAGGATCGAGGATCGCGGACCAAGCTCGTCTTAGATGTTGGATCGCGGATCGAGGATCGATTGTTGGAGTGTTTTGTCGTTTTAGGCCCTTTTCGGGGCTCTGCCAGGAGACCTCCAGATATGATGATGCTGATGATGATGATGAGGATGATGAAACTGGTGATAATCATGATGCTGATGATGATGATGATGATGATGATGATGATGATGATGATGATGATGCTGCTGATGATGATGATGATGATGATGATGATGGTGGTGGTGGTGTTGATCATGCTTATGATGAAAATGATGATGGTGGTGATGATGACGACGCTGATGGTGGTGGCCGTGGTGGTGGTGATGAAGATGATATTGATGCTGATGAAGACTATGATGATGATGATGCTGGTAGTGGTGATGAGATAATTCTGCTGGTGGTGGTGATGCTGCTGATGATGATTATGATGATTGTGGTAGTGGTGTTGGTGCTGACGATGCTGATGATGATGATGATGATGCTTGCGACGATGATGATGATGATGATGCTGATGAGTATGTGTATCATGATGCTGCTGATGATGATGCTTATGACGATGCTTATGATGATGCTGCTGATGATGATGACGATGCTGACGATGATGATTGATGATGATGCTGATGCTGATGGTGATGATGATAATGATGATATTACTGTGTATGAGGATGACGATGAGGATGATGACGATAATGATGGTGATGAGGATGCTGATGCTGATGCTGATGCTTATGATGCTTGTGGTGATGGATGTGATGCTGATGCTGATGATGCTGATGCTGATGATACTTGTAACGGTGATTGTTGTGGTGATGCCGCTGCTGTTGATGCTGCTGCTGATTATGATCCCGATGCTGGTGATGCTGCTGCTGATTATGATGATGCTAATGATGATGATGATGATGATGATGATGATGATGATGATGATGATGTCGATGGTAATGATAACGGTGATTGTTGTGGTGATGATGCGCATGATGATGCTGCTGTTGCTGCTGATTATGAAGACGGTGCTGGTGATGATGCTGATGAGTCGGATGACGATGATGGTGACGACGATGATGACGATGACGACGATGATGATGATGCTGATGAAACTTATGATGCTGATGCTGATGCTGATGCTGATGCTGATGCTGGTGGCGATGGTAATTATGATGACGATGAGGGGAAGGAGGGTGCTTCTGCTAATAATGATGTCGATTGTGATTATGCTCATGATTCTGATTCTGATGCAGGTGACGACGAGTATGATGATGCTGATGATGATAATGATGGTGGTGGTGCTGGTGATGATGATGCTGATGATGGATGGTGGTGATGGTGATGGTGGTGGTGATGATGATGATTCTGGTGGTGGTGCTGATGATGGTGATGGTGGTGGTGGTGATGACGGCGCTGGTTGTGGTGGCCGTGGTGGTGATGATGATGGTGGTGGTGGTGGGTGTTGTGATGAGATAATTTGTTGATGGTGGTGATGCTGATGCTGATTATGATGATGATGATGCTTGTGGTGGTTGTGATGATGATGCTGATGGTGCTGATGATGCTGGTGGTGGTAATGATGATGCTGATGATGATGGTGATGACGATGCTGGTGATGATGCTGATGATGATGATGATGCTGATGATGATGCTGATGATGATGATGCTGATGCTGATGCTGATGATGCTGCTGCTGATGATGATGATGATGCTGATGATGATGATGACGATGATGATGATGCTGATGATGCTGATGATGCTGATGACGATGATGATGATGATGATGAGGATGATGCTGATGATGATGATGATGCTGATGATTATGATGATGATGCTGATGATGATGATGATGATGATGATGATGATGATGATGACGGCGACGGCGACGGTGACGGCGACGGCGACGGCGACGGCGACGGCGACGGCGACGACGACGACGACGACGAGGAGGAGGAGGATGAGGAGGAGGATGAGGAGGAGCCGGAGGAGGATGAGGAGGAGGAGGACCAGAGTGAATCCAAGACACATCAACCAAGCTGCAATACACCCTCGCGTCCCAATTCCCTCCTCACAGGTTCCCACACTATTCCCTTTCACTACAAGAAACGCCTCCTTTGGAAGACCAGCCCACTTCTATGGTCCTGCCATTCAGGCGAAGGCCCAGCTTTGGAAGAGAAACTGCCTTGCATCCTTCAAGCGAATAGGAAGAAAAACGACAAGGTGTAGTTGTATAGTTCATCGAGGTGTCCAGCGAACATCCCGTTTTGAACAAAGGGTCACCTCCCAATCTTGAATATGGTGAGCAGATTTCATTTCTGGCCAGGATCTTCGAGGACATCTCAAGCGGTTACCCAATTTTGAACGTGCATCGTCATTCATCCTTTAAAAACGCGCGCAAGCTTTTCCTACGATTGTGAGCGGCACTATGGCGATAGCTTGAGTTTGACAAGGGACCGCCCTACATCCTTGTAACAGTTGGGAGATTATAAGACGAAAGGGCGCGCCAAAGAGGCGAGAGCTCATGTTGATTGTAACTGTTACAATCGTTCGAGACGATGTGCGCGGTGCTACGGCGAGAGCTCTATTCCCATCCATCTGTGTAATTGTTGACAAGTTGGAGCCTCGGGGTTACAAGTGGTGAGGAAGCCTCAGGCGAAACGCCTGGCCCTCTCTCCTGGCACGCCTGGGGGTGCGACAGGGATGAGCTACCTATAATGGAAAAGAGATGGTAAAGCGGAGGAGGGGAGAGGAGGAGGGTAAATAACGGGGTAGAGCGATGGGGGGAAAGGCTGAAGGAGGAATCTGAGTGTGGATGAGGGAGGAGGCAATAGGCAGGGGCAGGGAAAGTGATCTGAGGAACATGCGCACGAGGAGGAGGAAGAGGAGGAGGACGAGGAGGAGGAGGGAGGAGGAGGAGGAGGAAAAGGAGGAGGAGGAGGAGGAGGAGGAGAGCGGAGGATGAGTAGGGAGAGGGGAGGAGGGGAGTGGTGGTGGGTGGAGGAGGAGGAGGAGGAGGAGGAGGAGGAGGAGGAGGTGGCAGGGGGAGGGGGATGAGGAGGAGGAGGAGGAAGAGGAGGAGGAGGAGCATGAGGAGGGGGAGGACGAGGAGGAGGAGGAGGAGGAGGAGGAGGAGGAGGAGGAGGAGGATCGGGCGAGGGAATTCTCTTCCGCCTCCTCCTCCCTCCTTCCTTCCTTCCCTCTCCCTTTTTCCCTCCCGTCTCTCCCTCCCCGTTCTCCACTCGCTCTCCCCTCCCCCCTCCGCTCCCTCCACCCAGATCTCTGTCGTCGCGTTTTTTTACAACGTCGACCCCCCAGAGGTCTAGACCCTTTCCCTGGGACCAGTGTTTAATCCCGAGTCGCTAGTTGACGGTCCCGGGGCCCTGTCAGGGCCCCTGGAGGCCGAACATTGTCAAATTCCCCTCGTCATGATTTTTTTGGCACGCAGAGAGGCGGTGGCAGTCCTTTTGGGGCTTCCCAGGGCGGCGGCGGCGGTTACCCAACAAGAGGCAGCCCCACACCTGCCACGGAAACGCTGGCGGGGCTCAGCTCGGAGGAAGTCCCGTGAGGGGCTCCAAGCCCTGTGAGCATGACGACGTCGAGGCCGGGGATGACGAGGGCGACTAGGGCAAGGAGGCGGACGATGGCGCTGATGCTGATGTCGATGCTGATGACGACGACGATGAAGACGACGACGATGACGAGCACGACGATGATGGTACTGCTGATGATGATGGTGCTGATGATGATGCTGATGGTGTTGATGATGATGACGATGACGATGACGATGGCGCTGACGATGACGATGATGATGACGATGACGACGATGATGACGATGATGACGATGACGATGATGCTGCTGATGATGATGCTGATGAACGCTGCTGAGGCTGATGCTTATGATGATGATGATGATGATGATGATGATGATGATGATGATGATGATGGTGATACTGATGATGATGATGCTGATGCTGATGCTGAAGCTGCTGCGGTTGGAGCTGCTGGTGATGGTGCTGATGATGATAGCGATGCTGGTTATGATGATGATGCTGATGCTGATGATGCTGATGCTGATGATGATGATCACGATGATGATGATCACGATGATGATGATGATGATGATGATGATGATGATGATGATGATGATGATGATGATGATGATGATGATGATGGTGGTGGTGGTGGTGGTGGTGGTGGTGGGGGTGGGGGTGGTGTATTGATGATGATGATGATGATGATGATGATGCTGATGATGATGATGATGATGATGATGATGATGATGATGATGATGATGCTGATGATGATGATGATGATGATGATGATGATGATGATGATGATGATATGATGATGATGATGATGATGATGATGATGATGATGATGATGATGATGATGATGATGATGATGATGATGATGATGATGATGACGATGATGATGATGATGATGATGATGATGATGATGGTGATGATGATGATGATGATGATGATGGTGCTGATGGTGCTGCTGCTGCAAATCTGCTGCTGAGGATGATCGTGGTAGTGGTGCTGATGATGACGAGATGATGATGATGGCGACGATGATGATGATGCTCTTGCTGCTGCTGATGATGCTGATGATGGTGAATATGACGATGATGGCGACGACGATAATGATGATGATGCTGCTGCTGATGCTGCTGGTGCTGATGAAGATGATGATGACGATGGTGATGATGATGCTGATGATGTCGATGATGCTCATGCTTATGCTCATGCTTATGCTGATTTTTGATGCTTCTGCTGACGAGGGAGAGGATGCGGATGCGCATGAGGATGAGGATGAGGATTATGAAGAATATGATGAGGAGGACGAGGAGGAGGATGAGGACGAGGACGCATATGCGGATGTGGATTGTTAAGACGCCGCGCCCTGGACACTTCGGAATCACGCTCTCGCTTTGGATAACGATGTTCCCGGGAATCGCACTATCGTTCGAGACTTCCTTCAGGATTGACGCTTCAGCGACCGGCCTGCTCGGCTGGGCCGTTTGGGCCTCCTCACCCGACGCGCCCCTTGGGGTCCGCCCGCCCGACCTGCCCGTCTGGTTATGCCTCTTGTCTTCCTGCTTCTAGCCCCCGTCCTGCGAATCTCTCTCGTGCTCCGTCCTCATCCCTCGCCTTTATCGCTTTCACTGCTTTGGGGGCTGCCCCAACTACACGTGGTAGGGAAGGAAGACATACCCCCAAGGGGGGTACGATCCAAGACGAGGGGGGCGTGTATCAACAATTTTGGAATTCACGTTGAGTGTCACGCGCGCATATGAGAGCGAACAATATTTAACTGTTTGTTTATGTTCATGATGTCGACGACTAACATGGTCATGATGGCAATGATGATGTCGATGCCGATGGTGATAATGATGATGCTGGTGCTGATGATGAGCACGATGGCGATGACTATCATGATGATTCGATGATGATGATAATTATGATTATGATGGTGGTGATGCTCATCATCATGATGATGATGCTGATGCTGACGAATCTCATGTTGATTATGATTCTGATCCTGCTTATGACAATGACGGTGACGATGTTGATGGCGATGATGATGATGATGCTGATGTTGATGATGATGACGATGGTTCTGATTTTGAAGACGGTGATGACGACGACGTTGATGATGATGCTGACGATGCCGATTACGATGATGTCTCTGATGAGAAAAATGACAATGAGTCTCATCATGATGATGACGACGCTGATGATGATACGGATGATGATGATGATGATGATGATGATGATGATGATGATGATGCGGATGCTGATGATGATGATGCTGCTGCTGATGCTGATGATGATGATGAATGTGATGGCGATGGTGATGCTGATGCTGCTGCTGATGATGATGACGGTGTTTGTGATCATGATGTTGATGATTATGATGATGAACATGCTTGTGATGATGATGACGATGCCGACGATGATGAGGATGCTGCTGTTGATGATGATCATGATGATGATGATGCTGATTCTGATGATGGTGCTGATGATCATGATGGTTATGATGATTCTGCTGATGCTTATGATGCTGATGATGATGCTTATGACGATGACGAGTACGCTGACGATGGGGATGACGATGGTGATGACGATTATGATGTTGATGACAATTTTGACGTTGCTGATGCTGATGCTGATGCTGATTCTGACAATGATGCTGATACTGGTTTTGTTGCTGTTTCTGCTGCTGCTGCTGTTGTTGTTGCTTGTGCTGTTGTTGCTGTTGTTGTTGTTGCTGTTGTTGTTGCCGTTGTAGTTGCTGCTGCTGCCGTTGCTGTTGTGGTTGCTTATGTTGTGGTTGTTGTTTTTGTTATCGTGTTTGTTGCTGTTGTTCTTTTTGTTGTTGCTGCTGCTGTTGTTGACTACCATGTTGGTCATGTTGAGTGAGGAGGAGTATGAGCAGTGCCAGCTCCTCCCTTCTCCCTCCCGCGTCCTCTGCGTTTCTCTCCTATTTCTTACTCACTCCTTCTTTCACATCCTTCTCCTCCTCTTTCTCGTCTTCTCCTCTTCTCCTCCTCGCTAACTTCTCCTCGTCATTACTCTCCCTGCTCGTCGTCCTCCTCCTCGTACTCCTGCATTTCCATCCTGTATTCACCTCCTCCACCTCCTTCCTTTCCCCCTCTGCCTCATCGTATCTATCCTCATTTTATCTCTTCCTTGTTTTTCACCTCGCTCTCACCCTCCTTCCCCCTCGCCTCCTCCTTCCTCATTCCTCCTCCTTCCTCCCCCCTCTGGGGCCTGCCGGGGAAACATCTGGGGGTCGGTACCGCTCACGAGTCTTCCTCTGACTGGCGCGCATTTCTTCGACCTCAGCGGCATGCCGGTGCGGCCGAGGAACCAGTGGACGAGCGTCGTGCTGCGCGGCGGCGACCCGCGGCGCCTGGTGGGCGGGTGGAGGAAACCGAACAGGGCCCCTTCCGTCACGGGGAAGGAGGATGAGGCCGCCATACGCAGCAAGCGGGTCCTGAGGGAAACGTGTCCTGAGTTTTTCTGCCATTTTTGGGCTCCTGGGGCCCTCCACGGGGCTAATCTGAAGGCGACTCAGGACGAAAAGGCTGTCTTCGGGGAAGGCCCCGGGTTCCAGGACCTCCTCCTCCTCCTCCTCCTCCTCCTCCTCCTCATACCGCAGGTCCCTAGAGGTCTCCAGAGAAAAACTCGCCTAAGAACCTCGATTTTGGAGGCTTTACGGCCCATGCCGCCGACACTGAAGACGACGACGACGACGACGACGACGACGACGACGACGACGACGACGACGACGACGACGACCACGACGACGACGACGACGAGGACGAGGACGAGGACGAGGTGGAGGGAGGAGGAGGAGGAGGAGGAGGAGGAGGA